AGCAGCGATGTACTCGGTACCGACTGCCAAAAGCCCTGAACCGATGTCCCCATCCTATCTATACTACACTAGCCTAGACTCGACCTAGACCGGACAGACTGACTGACCGGTACTGTTTCTGTTTCCGCCTCTCGGCCTCTACCGGACCCAGCTATAGGCTATAGGACCGTCTATCAGAATAGGCCCTCAGGGCCTGTCTGTCCTAGGGGTAGCCCAGGCCTGCTGTTCGCAGTTAGGGTAGGTGTAGGGAATTCTGTTAGTACTGGGACTGCATATTTCCCGAATTTGCAGATATGTCCCTCACGAATTTCACTCACAGGTAGGTCTCTCGGTTAGCCCTCATCCAAACAAAATTGCAAATCTGTCCTACCTATAGTACAGCCTCGACAGAGAGAGGCTACAGGCGACCAGAAAACAGCAAGTCATTGCAGATGTGTTGAAGAATGGTTATCACGTCTTCGACTTCCATTGGGCGCACAATCCCTTCATCAACGACGGCCTGCTGTTGGACTACAATCAGCCAATGACCACCTTAAGCCCAATCCCAAGACACCCCCCTTAGCCCACCCCCCTAAACACCCTCCATGGCCAACCTCCCTGAAAAATACACGAAAGCCCCCCACCCTCCTGAAACGTCCTTAGGCCGACCCGAAATGAACCCAAAAGACCGGAAACCACCAACCCCAAGACATGCCCTTGCCCCACCCCTCTCCCCCGGCACAACCCCCCGTTACAAACACCCCCCTTGAACCCTAAACCCGAACGACAACCCCCACAAAATAGAGCACCGCCCCCATTGCCCCCAATGCCCCCATCCAGGAGGCACGCCTCCCGACGGGGAAGCCCCCTACACCAAACCCCCTATGAATGACACCCCCCCAACCGACCCCAGGCAAATCAAAAAACACTTTTCTTTGCATATCCTGGGAGTGGACCCCCGACTGACACCCCCCCCGCTATCGAAACTCAGAAAGGGGGTTGCCTGATTTTTTGACTCCCCCCTTAACCCCCCCCATTTTTTTTTATTATTTGTTGTTTTTTAACTCCAAGGGGCGGGGCCGGGGTCCCGATGCTGGAATCCCGATCCCGATTGGCGGAACCGCGCTCACGTGCTTGCACTAGCACACAGCAGGCAGGCGCGAGTGCACGCTCATGCACCGCTGCCACACGTACCACTCAGTGCCCGAATACCTCCCTCTGCACCCGGCACTTTTCTATATCGAAAGTGCAAGTGTGCTGCCTGCCCTCTGCCACTGGGACTGAGCCAGTAGCTTCACTATCGGCCAAAGTGTCTGCGCCCAGGCCCGTTCAGACAGTGGCCTGGGACCAAATTGGTTAGGCATGCCCAACCACCAAGGCACAAACATGCGGTGTTTTCACCACGTTGCGGGAAGAGCCTGGAAGGCTCTCGAATATTTCAGATTCTCACGAGCAAGGCGGGTGTAACCAACTGGCGCGTGGCAACTGTCTGGCGCCCACCAAGATTTGCAAAAATTGACAAACTGAGGCCTCAATGAAAATTCAGGGGCCCACCTTCACTTAGGGTGGGCACGTGTCCCTTGCAGGGGCCTTACACAGGTATGCCAAGGGGTAAAATCCTCGCATACAGACCAGAGGAGAGTCAGCAACAGTGGAGAGCAGGATCAGAGCATACAAAGCCCCGTAAGAGGCCTGGAGGTTCCAAGAATTGCAGTAAGTTGGCCCTGACGGAGAAGATACAGACATGTGGGTTGTTAGGGTTCAGGGTTTAAGGCAGGAGGGACAAACCCCTCCACCCAGGATTAGCCAAGTGAGAGGCTTAGGATAGTGGATAGCCGGAGTCTAGGATTTAGGTTTTCTACCATTTAATGAAAGAAGGATAAGGGGATGCAGGTTAATGTGCTGCTAGGGTTCAAGGTTTTAGTAAGTAAGCTGGCAAGGTAGTACAAGGTGGCTCTTTGTGAAGTTGTGAACTGCTTTTGAGAATGTTTATTTTGGGGGTACACTGATTGGGGGAGGGGTCTGCTTCTGGGTATGGGCGCAAATGAAAGTTAATCCTTCTGCATAGGAAGCAATCAATGCTGTCAAGGTTCCCCGGGCTGTAACATGGGGAACCGTGAAGTGATTTGCAAAATTTTTCATAAGGGACGCTGGGCCCGGTTCTCATCACATGCTGCTCGCCATGAATAGATTGGTCTAGCTTCATCGCGCCGAGAATGGATCGGGGCTCAAGTGGTTCACCGAAGCAACAAAAAAAAACAAAGGAGCTGTTTTACCTTAAAAAAAAAAAAAAAAAAAAAAAAAAAAAAAAAAAGAAAAAAAAAAAAAAAGAAAAGAACTGGGCTGATGCTCCCAAGAATAGATAAGGAGCCAGAGCCATGAGGTTCTTATTTTTTCCTTTTTTGTTTTTTTCAATGGTGAAGGAGAGTGGCATAGAGAGAAACAAACACATTGTAATCGAGAATACACGTACGATAGAAGGGCAATGGGGACATGCACACCAAGAGCTAGAAGACACTCACTCTCTGAAAGGAACCTTGCTGCGTGGTGGATTCCATTCCCATGATTGCTTGGGCGCCACCTTCTCTCCCATCGCATTTCTTTCCCTCCTCTGTTCTGCCAGCCTCCTGTTGCAGGATCGTGCATTGGCCCCTCAGTGCACAGTCTAGTACCTGAGTCGGGATTCACTTCTTCATCTCCCCGAATTTTTGGTTCACTGCTTCTGTTATCCTCCCAGTGCACAGATCGACCACAGCCATCATTCGCTCCTTTGCCTGCCTTTCCACCAGCATTACAAGGTCCTTTTCTTGAGCATTCCACATTCTCCTGGCCATCACCACTGGCTTCTGATGCATCTACCTCCTGACGTGTTGCTTCAATCTCCACCCTATCCGCAATCCAAAGCAAGGAGTCTGTGTCATGGATCTCTCTTCTTACACTGATAGAATGGCTGAGGCTTTGCTTTGTACGATCCTTGTCTTGGTCCTCACCAGCATGACCTTGATCGTAGCTGCCCATTGGGTTGGCTGATTGGGCAGAGGCTCTAGAATAGGTATCTGGACTCATCACGTTGCTGGCACTCACAGCACCGCCATCATTGTCTACGTCACCCAACGTGTCATTACGGCTTCCGCAGATGGCATCCACGTCTTGTCCACCGGCTGTATTCCCTTCTTCTCTGCTATCCACCATGGCACCACCTTCACCATGGTTTTGTGAACCGACCACCCCAACTGGCCTCCACACCTTTGTGGACCATGGTTTTCCATACTGGCTTCCCCACAGTGCTTGCCTTGACAACCGACTATCTTGCCCTCTCACTTCCCACCTCCTTTTATTATCAAACACGACTCCACTGCTCCCAGGAGCAATTCTTTCCCCTGTGGGTTCGCCCTCACAATGCCACACAGGATGGCCCACTGCCACCATTCCCCCAGGGCACCCACTCTGTGCAGCAACATTTACATTTGTAGTCATGCCAGTTCGGAAGGATGACCCTTCTGCTGTGTAGCCATGGCGAGAGATTGCTGGCCGTACTTGTGGCTGGCCATGGTACACTCCTTGCCCATGGGTCTGGGAAACAACCAGACCATGGACTTGAGTGGGCACTGCCACATTCTTTGGTGTGGACGGCTGTTGTTGAGTACTCCACCGTTCGATGCCACTGTCTTCTTTACTATGTGGCCCATGTGGCACATTCATGGGAGTGTCACATCCGGGCAGGTCATGGCGGCCACCTTCAAGCACAGTCATTTGACCTAAGACCCCAGCTCGACCATCACCCCCCCTCTGCATATGCAGCACCTGAACAGGATTGACACCAAGGCCGACACCCATTCCCAGTCCAGCTTCGGGAATGCTCCCAGTCATTTGCACACTGATTGGAACATGCACTGCATTATGTGGTCCACAGTGAGGAACTGGGGTATAAAGACTCTGTGCCGGGATAGCAACCCCTGAGCGCACACTTACCTGTGGTGCTGGCTGGACATTAACTCCCCATGGAAGATATGGTGAAGCCAGTGGCTGGGTTTGAGGTGCAAGACAGACACCCATTGGCAGGACTTTACCTTGCATGCCCAGGCACACAGAAGTTCCTCTCTGCCGGCCCACCCCACCAATAATGGTGGGGTGCACAGTTCCACAGCATGGAGGTTGCTGCTCGTACACCACCTTTTCCTGAGCCTCACCCCCTTCTCCAGGAAGTGCATCCTTTGTGCTTCCCATTTCAAGTTTGACAGGGGTCACAATTTCACCAATCACAAGCCCTTGAACACTGCTGATTACCATGCCGCCACAAACATCCTCCATCCATCCACCACCGCTGGACCCTCCATTGAAACGGGGCGTGCTGGGTTGCTCATCAGGACTCACACCTTCCTTTCTGCTGAGTGCACTGGTGCTGTTCCTCCTAGGATCCTCTGAAGAGCTGACAGTCGTCACCAACCCAACGGCATTTTTCTCTCTGCCAGCACCTCCTCTAGACACCCAGACCGAGTTCTTTATGACACCCTCTCTTTCAGCTGCAACATTCCAAGGGGATAAACTCTTTCTGTGCTCCTGCCCTGCGCTAGCTCGCCGCCCTGGTCCACCTGATGATTTGTGTCCTTCCCATCCAGTCTTCAGTACAACAGGAATCTGCCCAACCACTATAACCTCTGAAGCAGGGGCAGAGAAGCTTTCTCCATCATTGCCCACTCCATCTCTTCTATCACTTCTGGCTTCATGTTCCACAGAAGTGGGTTCTCTTCCTAAATTACCACCTTTCCCTTCATTCCCCTTCTCTCCACTCTTCGCTCTCTCCGGCGTACATCCTGCATTCCTAGAGGTTTTCTGGCTTTGTGCATTACTGGGTGTGAACAGATTATCACTGTCAGATCTCTCACGGGCATCCGCACACTCCAATGCCAGGTGTTTGTTTTTGTCTGCTCCCAGTCGGTATTTCTGTCCACTTCCGGCCTTCTCTAATGATCGCATTGCATCACTACTTCCCAAGCTTACTTTGGGACCTCGAGCTGGCATTTGGGCCTTAGGCAAGGGGGGGAATTCTGAATCATGACCCACTACAAATCCCGCGTTTGATACTGAAGCCATCACATCCATCCCACTGCCAAGACCTGCACTGCTATCCCCTGTACCACCCTCTACCCTGACCTTGCCAACTTTTCCTGACCACCCATCTTCTATTCCTGAGGCCCTGAATTCAGTGAGACTTGAATAGGTGCCTCCGATTATGCCAATGCTGCTATGCCTAATCCTTGCTGAGTCTGACCTCTCGCTCCTCCCTAATCTCACATCCGCCACTGATGCCCCTTTTACCACCTCCAATCCTGCTGAGGAAATTCTCCATGACCCCCCCCCTCCAAGGTCTGGGACACCACTGATCCCTCCCAGGCCCTCAGATGCAGAACTGCTTAACCCTCCACCAGAACTCCCGGCATTCTGAGAAGGGTGCAGTCTTTCCTGAGCATGATATTGATGATGACTCAGCGCCCCACCAGATGATGGCCGGCCACCAGAGCCTACCCCCTCAGAGTGCGGATGAGTGCTCCTCTTTGCAGAGGTGACAGCAAGAGTAGCTGCCATGCTCTTATGAACCCCCCCCTCGTCACTCCTCAGACCATATTCACCACTTTCCAGACATTCAAGAAAATCATCGGCATTCTCTTCAGAACCTGCTCCCTTAAACTTCCTAGTCACTGAATCACTGGCACCCAGTCGGCCTTCTCCAAGATCTATCCCCTCACCTGCCCTGCTAGCATTCTCTGGTGATCCCACCACATGTCCACCCCTACCCTCCCGTGTTTTAGATGATATTAGAGGTGTGTCTTCACCCCTACGTGCTCGTGGTTCGGGTGCCCTGGTAGCAAGCTGTGCAAGCTTCTTCAGTTGAGGAGCTTCAATTGCTCCACCGAACAAGGACAAATTTCTCTTACCACCCAAATCCCCTGCTACATCCGCAACAGGTCCACTACCTCCATCTCCACCTCCATCAGCTACTTTGTCCTTCAATGCCTCTTTCCATGGAAAACAGGGCTCGTCAGTGCCACCATTGCCACGGGTGGAATGCTGGACTTGCCACTGATCAGTTCCTTTTGTGGGACCCTCTCCTGCAACACCCAACGATACATTACCAACTTCTGTACCGCTTGGAGATTCTAACCCCGCCTCCTCATCCTCCCCCTCCTCCTTGCCTGGACCAGAACTACCTTCTGGAAGCCAGTCACCATCCACATATTCATTGATGTTGCCGATTCCTTTCCTCTCCCTGTCTCTTGCCTCCTTCAGTCGTATCTTCTTTGCGCGTTTACGCTCCTGAATCTTTGCCCGCCTGTTACATACACAGACATATTACATGCCTCACGATCAAGGTGGCTATTCCTCATCCCAAGGTTGCGTACAGTTCGAGCGTCATTGACTATGTTGCCATGAATGACATGCTCAACATCAATGTAAGATGCATTCACTGTCAGCAAATTATCAGAGTACAATCATTATGATCATTGCTGCTTACGTTTCTGTTCTGATCTTTTGACATCGTCACAATAATTGTGGCAACAAGAATGTGTTTCACATAACATATCCTTCTGATGGTAATCATGCTTTCCCCCTTCACATTACTTAAGCTACATAAAAGATATTTGTCAAAGTGAAAAACAAAAACAACCCTACAATATTTCTAACCAGAGACACCACTCGAGCAAGTATTGTTGGTGGTCGTCGAGTCCTAGGGACTAGACTATGGATGTAGCACCGGGAACTTGTGTACAATCATCCCTACCAGCTTCATACACCTAGCATTAGCCACCTCAATAAGCCATCACCGCATTACATGCACAGAGACGACCATCATCAAGCCGATACTGTTCCAAGCTTTAATTGCATGCTGGAGCAGGCATTCTTGTACCAACAATTGAAGGGGGTTGTGCATGGTGCCTAATGCTCTGCTCAGTCCCTCACATGCTGCCGCTCAGGAAGTTGTGTGCTGACGTCTGAGTCCTGAGGGCAACATGATGTTGCCCTTAACTCTTCAACACATCGGGGTCCTCTGAAGGCTGAGGAAAGAAAGCTCCTCTTGGTCCATGCCTATCTCATGAGTGGATGACTTGCCAGTTGAGGGTGGTTAGGTGCTGTTTACTGGGAGTCTGTAGGACAGTGAAGCACGTAGAGGTCACGTGTGGACCCGACTGAATTTCGGGGTACATAGTGGAGGCAAGTAGACAGACAGCAGACCAACAGATGTACATACACAGACTGACAGACTGACAGACTGATGGACGGACAGAAGATCACACGGGCAGAGAATACATTGGCTGACACAGTGGCAGATTGACAGACTTAGAGGCTGACAAAGTGAGAGAGAGTGAGAGGCAGACGCAGATAGGAACACAGAGAGACATACAGATAAACAGAACCGATGAACCGACTAACAGACTGTGAGACCAATAGACTGACACATTGACAGAGAGACAGGCAGAGATTCAGACAGACGGGCAGGGAAATAGAGCATGCCCTCTTCCCATGTAGGCCACAAGCAGAGCTGTGGTTAGGAGGTCAATTGTCTGGCTACCAGTAAAGTAAGACTGTTGATGTGCATACCTCATAACTGACATTTGGTCAAATCTGATTATTACTAATACTCTAAAGGAAATAGAGGGTCACTCGTGAGTGTCCCACGTGAGCCTCTATTTCCACTGTTGGGAAAGCCGAGGCGATTTTCGGGGGCGCTCCCTGGGAAACTCGAAATGGGCCCAGGGCCCGGGAAGGGAGCGGCCAAGCAGGCCGACGCGGCCGGGCAGGTGCGAAATGTCACGCCTCTCATAGGCGCCCCTTTCGGAAAGGTGCAGGCAGAGCATTGCGGGGAAAGCGGCAGCGGGGCAGTGCGCGGGAAGCCAGAGCCTCGCGAAAAGAAAGAAAGCGGCGAGTGTGCGGGCAAGCCGAAAATAGCAAGCGCATGGGCCATGCAACGCGCGCGTCCCGTCTGTGTGTGTGCGTGTGTGTGTGTGTGTGTGTGTGTGTGTGTGTGTGTGTGTGTGTGTGTGTGTGTG